TTTTTTTTGGTGCTCTTTTTGCTCGACCTTAGGGAACTCAGAGTCGTGCTGTTGCAGACACAGGGTGACGGTAATTCTGGAGAAGTTCCTGTCTATCAAAGCCAAAACCTCAACAGAGGTCATGGAAGCCGGCAAAATCATCGAACAGGGTACGCACGCCCAGCTACTGCAGAAGGCCTGCGACACCAAAAGTGGCTACTCCAAATTGCGATCTGGGCAAGCTTAGCGCATGCAGCACCAGCGGTAGACAATCATATCCTGAGATTGGGTTTTCCACATTTCGTGATGAGAAACATGAGAAGCAAGTCCCACGATGCCCAAAAATCTCTGGAAAGGCGGGTGGCAAGTATGCGAATCTTGTCCAGCAGCAGCTGGCAGTAGACGACGATTCCGCCAAGGCAGAGACATGCACGGACCCGAAGGCCTGGATTGAAGACTTTTACCGTTTCAGTGCATCATCTTGTCTTCGGATTTAGGGTTCAGCTGGTTTGACACCGCTGTCTGCACCTTCTTCGTGAGCATATGGTAATTTCCCTACATAGGGNNGGACCCCAATATAGACCCCGAAAAGCTAAACCCTAAACCCCGAATCCTAAACCCCAAACCCTAAACCCCAAAACCCTAAAAAGGTACCGGTAAGCAGGCTAAAACTTGTGAAGTGCCTTGTCGAAATTTGGGCAGGAAGAGGGAGGTCCCTTGTGGGCATAGGCCGCTCCCGGAAGCATAAACCATAAACTCCACAATCTTAACATAGTATAGAATAATATGATATAATATAGTATTATACATTATTAAATTATATTATATTATGTTATGTTATATCCTATCATAATACAACCTTGCAGAAAGCTCGCAGAATGGTTCGGACAGAAGCGGTGGATTGATGTCTCCAAGGCCGTGGAGGACTGTGCCCTGAATCTGGAACAGCTCCGCGCTCGAATTCCACACGAGTTTGTGGGAGAGGCAAGAAGCTACCCATTGAGATAATATTAGGGTTGTAGGGTTTAGGGTTTTATATAGGGGGGGTAATATTAGGGCTGAGTGTGATTGAACAAGTTCTAAGGGCAGATGTGTGTAAAAGGTTTTGATGCAGATTTTTTTCTTGTAGGTGGCTAGTGGTTTGGATAGACAGCCTTGTGGACATCCTGCAGATGCTGCAGAGGTATTCCCTAATCTTTGCTTTGGGGCCTCTCATGCAGACCTATTTGCGCTGTATGGTTTGCATTGGCCTTTCCTTAACGGCGATGTGCGAGCAATTTCCTGCCAGAGAGCACAACCACGGCACAGGCACGAAGACGGTTGACCTAATCTATATATGTATACACATATATGTATATACATAGATAGATACATATACACGCGCACATATTCATGGTACACATACATATAGGGACATATATACGTATACATGTATATTCAGACGTAGATTCAGACGCACGCACACAGACACGCACCTACATATATGTGCACACACATGCACGTTCTTCTCCGAGCCTTTCATTTGACTATACCCGGGCCTGCGGATAACCCGGATGGCCAGTGGCTGCAACTGCTGAAAATTCAAGAAAATGATTCATGCCCTTATTCCTCCTATAACCCCGATATATGTCCTGTAGTACTGTAATAGTTTCCATCTCTTTTCCATTATCCCTTCATAGCCCCAATATATTCCCGCAAATCGGTGCTGATCTCATCCGATTCTTACCGCAGGTCAGTAGGGAATAAGAGAATGTGATCCTGATATAGTCCCTAGATAACATATTCCCTTTTTACCGATTAACCACCAGTAGGTCAGCTTTAGCTGAAGGAGATCCCCGTATACCCTATTTGATATGATATACTGTAATGCAATATAATAGAATATAATATGATATGATATATTATTATTCTTTATTTTTAATATATATATATACATATATAGTCTTATGAAATGTATATATATATATATACATTCTCTTACTCCCTGGTAACCCCCCGGTCGGTTTTGTTTGATTCGCGTCGGCATCTCCAACAGGTTGAATCGGCGGTGAAGGCGCTCAAGGACGCGGCGAAGACGTTGAAGCAAGAGAAGCTTGGGCATAAACCCTAAACCCTGAACCCTAAGTCCTAAACCCTCAACCCTAAGCCCTAAACCCTGAATACGTGGCAATGTGTAGGGCAGACAGTTGCCTTGCCGGGTTTTGCTGACTGGAGTGGGGCACGACCGTGGATTGAATCAGCAGTGGTATTTTTCTTCCCCAGCGGATGCTAGCGCCCAGAAAAGGTGCGAGGGGTTGTAAAAAAAAGAATACAAGAGTGCACACAGGGCATCTCCTTTATGTAGCCTGGCCACGGGAAGCTGGTTGTGTGTTGATTCCCGGCAGTTTTTGCATTCCAAGGAAGGCGCGCCTTGCCTTCCGTGAGCGCAGTCTGCTTGGTGCGCGGAAGTCGAAGGCTGCCAGCTCTCTTGGGTGATCTGCAATGCAGACAGCAGCAATCCTCCGTTTTGCCTAGAGCCAGCGTCTGAAGATGCCCCCTTTTTGGAGTTGGTAGCGTGGTTTGTGTCGAGTTGAGACCTGTGTTGTATTCAGCTCATAGAACGCGGCTTGCCAATTCATGGGCAGAGGTGTTGGGGGGCAGGGGCAGGAAGAGTTTTTTCTTTTGTCCCATTATGGGGCTGGGACACCTCTGCTGGAGAATCAGCCACTTTGTTTGGCAGCTTGCAGTTTTATTGGTGTATTTCCATACAGAAGGAGCAAAAAAAAGGCCAAGCTTAGCTTTGACATTTGCGACAAGAGTGCAGAAGGGATTCACGTCGTAGCAACTCAGCGTTTACAGCAAGGACCCCAAAAACGCTCACTGTTTAAGAGATTCCCAGTTTCGGCCCTAACCCCAACACCCAAAACCCTCTAACCCCATAACGCCATAACCCCATAAGCCCATAACCCTAACCCTACAACCCTATAACTATATAACCCTATAACCCTATAACCCTCTAACCCTCTAACCCTTTAACCCTAAGCCGTGAATTCCATGACAAGCAGTTGCTGGCGCAAGGCAGCCACCACGCTGCGAAATGCCATGCGGGCCATAAAGATGCAGCTGGGCAGCCTTCGGGTTTGACGGTAAAGGGTTTAGGTAATTTAGGTATACTAGAATAAAGTGCAATATGCTATACGTAATCTATTGCAATATCTTCTAGTATATTATAATGTACTATAATGCAGTCTAATTAATATACTATAATCTACTCTAGTATACTAAAATGCGATAATACACGATTCAGGTTGCCGGGCTTGGCTTGTATGGCAAGGGCATTCTTAGGCAACTTGACCAAGTGCCTGCACTGCAGAGTTTATGGCAGATGCAGGTCGTAAAACCTATCATGTATCATAGCATTATAGTATATTAGAGTATATTACAGTATATTAGAGTATATTATAGTATATTATAGTATATCAAACTGCATTATAGTATATTGTGATACCCAAAGGCCACCTGCAGCTGTCCCCTGCCACGTGAGTCACGTCAATCTGCTTCCTGATTTTTTGGGAAAGTGTGAGCTGCTGTAGCAGCAGAGGCGGAGTTTGTGAGTCGTGAGCCGGTGAACCCCTGCCATGTAATGAACCGAAATCAGCAAGAATCTTGCCTGTCCCATCCTTTCCCCACTCCCGCTTGATCCCACCTGCACTTCAGCTTACTAGTGGTTAGAGGGAATAAGGGGAAATGATCGCTATATAATCCCTATATAACATACTCCTTTATTCCCTGCTAAACGTAAACCCTACAAACTGTTTTACCTTATTCCCTACTAACCCTGAACCCTGCCAACTGTATTCCCTTATTCCCTACTAACCCTAAAGCCTACAAACCATATTCCCTTATTCCCTATTAACCACCAGTAAGTCAGCCTTAGCTGAAGGATGCAGCCCACCAGCAAGCCGGGTGTGCCTTCTGGCCCGCCACCTCTGCTTGAGCGAGCCCTTTCCACTGCCTCAGAGGCACGCAAGCATTTGGGGGAGGGATATTACCCCAAGAATTGGAGAATCAAATGGAAAAGAACATGGAACATGAAATGAAAGCAGGGAGACATAAAGGGATAGTCGTTTCCATTCCCCTTGACTGTCATTGTACCCATCGCGTAGTGCCCGTTTTATGTTCTATTCCCCTGATATATCCACTCCCCTATTATGTTCTCAAATTATAGTTTCACAAGGACACACAGGTTCGTTGAAGACGTGCAATAATGTCCTAGATGAGCCACGCGGTTAGCGGTTAAGGGTGAAGGGGTTAGGGTTCAGGGATTATGCTTAGGCTGCTTGTTCTACTGCAGCTCAGCACGCAACACGACGACCATGAGGCAAAGGGATGTGTCCTTTCAAACATAATTTTGTTCTGTCATCATGACTTGTTTTTGGCTACAATTGGTAAGCTTCCATTTATTCGACCAGTCAATTCTCTCATTTCTCTCACAGAATCAGCTCTGCCATCTTGTAGATCATCCAGGTTTTCGGCAATAAATGATTCATACTGCTGGATGCGGGGTGTCCATGTTTCAGGAAAAAGTCCTGTGTTCGGCATCACGATGTCTCGAGCAAACAGCACTGCTCTTCTATGTTCAGGGTACAAGTCTGTTCGACTGCCGACAGTGAACCATAACCCAGACCCATGATTAATGAACACCCTCTCTTTAATAGGCATTATATTTGGGATCCTAATATTTAGGTCCCTAAAAGGAGGTGGTTTATTAATCATGGGTCTACATTAACTAGGAAGCCGCAAAGTGTCGCACCTTTTCCTTAATACCTGACCCATCAAAGGCCATGCGAATGTGGACTTTTGCCAGTCTCCAATGCTCTACAGACGGGATCTTTTGGTAGTTTCCCAACATAAGGGGACCCCAACATAGGTCCCAAAGTATTTTGGGAAACCCCCATTTTCTTTCCAGGTTCTGGACCTCAGTCATGACATTCACGCGAAACGAATGTCCATTTCAGGATTGCACGAATAGGAAGCACCTCTGCTGGGGGGCTGGAATTCTCCTACTTTGCTTTGCTTCGAGCTTTCAGTATTAGACACCGGAATGCTGCCACACCTTGGTTTTGATGCTTCAACTGCTGACTGTAATCGATGTCACAGGACTCACCTAAGCAACAACAGGTCTAGCCACCAGTTATGCTAAGCTGCTGAAACAAGGGGTTTACCACCTCCGCCCCTTCCCTGGAAACAAGTAGCTCCAGGTGGCTGCTGAGGATCTGACTGGACAGGCTGGGTGGAGGTTTGGGAATGTCTCAGACTGCGGAGGGCTGGCTACCCAGCTACCGTCCTGAAACAAGACCAATACAACCCAATGTACTATAGTTTTCTCCATTTTCTTTTCCATTCTCCCAAGATAACCCCAATATAACCCCTTTCGAATTGGGAATGATGCGTGCCTGGGTATCAGCTTGATTAGCCCAAGGAGAAGATGGTCAGGTTATGTTGGGTTTATATTGGG